CTACTCCCAGGAAACTGATGACTAGTTACTCTCCAAACTCAGCTTTAACTGGGATAGCCAGCCCTACCTCTGCATCCACCAGCCACCTCCAAGTCCCTCCTTTTGAGGAAATTTGAGGACAGCTGGGCAGCTCTTGCCCCAGAATAGACAGCCATATCGGCTCTTTAGGCTTGTAGTTTAGGCTCAGCTGCTCCCTCTAAGGCCAGCCCCTTGGAGGGGGACTCATGGGCCGACGACTGAAGAGGCCTTCTGCAGCTGGGCAGCAGCGGTCCAGCCAGGGTAGAGAGGACAGCCCAGTGAGGATTTGCTTCTCTTTTCGAAGGTCTCTGCTATGGGGAGTGAGCAGAGGCTAAGGGGAGATGCTGCCACTCTACCCTTTGAAATCCTTCCAAGAACTGCTGGATTCAGCCTGTGGAAATAATTGCAGTGCTTTAGAAATTTTGAAGGATTTTCAAGGATAACCCAAGGAACATGTAAAACCCTCTTTGGAGGGTCCTCCGGGGGAATCACTTCTTAGACTTTATGGTTTTGAACTAATTGTGCTTCAAAAAAGAACCCATCTTCCTCCGGGGCTAGAGTGTGTATGCCTAGGAAGAGACAGGCCAGGATGGAGGAGTGCATTAACCTCTCCCTGCTTCAGGGGCTGGGGGAGGTAGCAGCTCAACAAAGCCTGTCCACAGCCTCAGCTGCAGGGCCCAGTGGCCTTTGTGTCCTCCGGGCTATCACAGAGAAAATCCCACAGCAATGGAGTGCCTAGGGGAGGAATGATTAAAGAGTGGGGGCTCCTTGTGGCCCTGCGCCTGCCCCATCCTACTGGATGGCAGGAGGAACTCATGCTGGCGAGGGGAGCAGCTGCCCAGACCTTCCCCTAGGTTTGGCCAGGGTGGTGGAAAAGGTAGGGGGAAAGCAAGCTTTAGCCAAAAGGCTGGGGCAGGCTGGTCTCCCCGTGTGGGGCACTCGCTCTAAGCTCTGGCATCATGATCTCAGCAGGGAGAACTGAGGCTCTCCTTCTTCTCTCTCATGGCTGCTGACACGGTTTCCCAGGGAAGGTATCCCAGCCTCGAGGGTAGACAGTCTGCTTCATAAGATCCTGGCTTTGGGTTGAGTATTGTCCACAGCCCACAGTGACTCATTTTACCCAGCTGAGCAACCAGAGCTGAAGGGCTTGGCCTGCCTTCTCTGAAAGAGACAGCAAACTTTGACGATGATGATGTTGGAGGAGGAGGAACCATATCTCTGAAAAGGCAGTCTTGGGCAGTGGCTTTGAATAGAGGAGGCCTGAGTAAGTTCCTTCAGTGGCAGATGTAGCCTCACTGTTTGTGGGGTCAGCAGAGGGGCAAGGAGGGGCCTTGTTCCCCTGGAAGGCAGAGGGAGCAGCCTCTTGGGCTGAGGACTTTTCTTGCTTTCAAGGGCTCATGTCTTTTCCTCCCATGGGGAGCAAGTCAAGAGCACCTCCTCTTTCCTAGCCAGCTGTGCCTCAGGAGGGGTTCCTGGGAGTCCTCTCCTGTGGCCAGGGACGGCCCATGTTTTGGAATAGGTCAATATTTTGGAGACACAGGCAAAGAAGGTCATGGGCAGCATGGGTGGTGTGAGGGGAGTGGGGGTTGGCCAACCTGCCATGGCGGAGGCTTCTCTCTCCTGAGCCACCTGCTGCAGTGGAGCAAACCCGAGGAGCCTGCAGGCTGTCCTTCAATCTGCTTGAAGGACTTTTCAAATGAGATTTTTCGATAGAAAAAGTATGAAATGCATATAATTACAAATTTACACCATACTAAAGGGTGTAGACTGAAAAATTTCTCCCCCTCTCTAAGCCCCCAACCCCTTCCCCAGAAGCAACCACTTTTACTGTGCTATACGCATCCTCCCAGAAAGATCAAAGCCTTCTCTTGGAGATGTACTCTCTTTTCTTCTTCAGGGCTAGTTTGAATCTTAACTGTAATGACTTCTCTGTTCTGACCTCAAGTTTAACCATACACGAAGTAGTGAAAATAGTATAATGAACCTCTATGTCCCCATCAGCCAGCTTCAATAATTTTCAACATTTGACCGATGTTGTTTAATCTAACCTTGTTACTGTAATTTTCTGGGGGAGGAAAAATCTTGGACATCATGACGTTTCATTTATAAATATTTCCCTGTGCATTTCTAACTGATAAAGACCCTTTTTAAAAACATAAGCACCATTATCACACTTTAAATTTAATTTAATTTTAATTTAATTTAATGTTAAGTGTAATAATCACCCTATTATCACACTTAACAAATATAACAAAGTCCTTAGTATCATCTAATTTCCACTGACTGATTTTGAATCCTACAGATCTACACACTGCATGCACCTTGCCCTGCCTGGATTTCTAACGTGAGCTTCCTGTTTAGCCTGAGATGTTGAGAGGGTTGGAGACCGGGCCATGGCAACCTGAAGCCTTTCCATCCTTCCCCTGGCTGTTCTCGCTCAGGCCAGAGGCTCTCTGTTCAAACATTCTTTTGGAGCAGAACAATCTTCCAAGCAACTTCCAAGCAATGTGAGTCTGGGAAGAGGCATTCTCTAGAGGTGGCTCTGTCCTTTACCTGCTGGGTGGCATTGGGAAAGCTACCTCTGTATCCCATCAGTGAAATGGAACACATAACGTTGGCCCTCAGGAGTTAGGTGGGTATTTGATAACCAAGGAGAGTAGTATTATTTCTGCTGTGCTCAGAGATCATATCAAACATGCAGCCTCTTTGCAGGGACCACGGTGCCAAATCTGGCTAAATTTTCATGTTGATGGAGGTGGGTTATGTGGACAACTGATTTCTCCACGTTGTTAGTAGCTGTTTGGTGCTCCCCAGGCACTCCTTTCCTGAGCTTATTAATCTGATTATTTTGGCTTCCAGGCTATTCTTCACTCTATCCCCAAGCCATGGGCATCTCCTCTCATCCTCTCATCCTCTGTCCCCACCCATCACTGCACTGCTCCTGCATCTTCAGGAGAGGAAGAAGTGCACCCTCCACTCCCCCCACCCCATGCCAGCTCAAAATATGTGACGTCTCTGGCTCTCAGCCTTTAGTTCTCTTGGCCAGAAAGACAAGGCCAAGCCAATCGGCATGAAGTTGGGTGTGGAAAGTTCTAGTTGCAAGTACATAGGACATAATATATTGCCTGCCAGCCAGCCAGCCTTCTGTGCCAGGAAGCCACTTGCTTTCCTGAAATGTCTTGGAGGAGGTTATCTTGGGGAGAAAAAGCAAAACATCAGCTCCAGAAGCCACAATGCTAGCAGGTGATGCCAGGCTTTCACTGGTACTGTGCCTTCTCTTTTCCCCTTTATGATCTTCTACGTGGACGTGAAGAAGTGGATCGCCAGATTGGGCACTTGAGCCCTTATTTGCTTTCCTTGGAGAAGTGCACTGGACTTCCTTGAGTTTCAGAGTTCAGTCTATACAATGGAGCAGAAAGAACCCACTTACTTGTCCAGTGGCCTTCAAGGATCTGGTACTATGGGCTCACACAGCAGAGAGTGGAGGTAATATCCAAGTGTTTTGGAGTTACTTGCAAGAAAGCTGCACAAGCAAAGCAAGCTACGATCAAGGGGGCCCAGATCCTCTGAGGTACCATCAGAATTGCATGAAGCAAACTGTTTACTTGTTTCATACAATCCTGCATTGTTCCCACAGGCACCCAGTGCAGGCAGCACCAAGAAGGCTGACAGTGCCCTCTTGAGGAATCCCTAAGCACTGCCAGGGACCCAGCTAGACCTGAACATTTTGCCAAGGGCACCCAGCAGAACCATTGGAAGCAGAATCACAGAAATAAGTGGGAGTGGGTAGATAAAAAACGGCCCCTTGGGGACCTGGAAAGAGACCCTGTGAGGACTGTGGGGAGGGCACAGGAGAAGGGTGATGAGTGGGCGCTGAGGCAGAGTGTCGGGATGTACAGAGCGACTACAGTACCCTAGATCCCGGGGAACTTGGAACCTTGAGGCACTTGGGACAGTGAGCATGACACAATCACCTGGCCGAGGTGGTTCTCTCTTTCCTGGGCATAAGAACAGGTAGAGACAGGAAGACATGCTCCATCAAGGAGTGTGGAGAGAGAAAAAGAAAGAAAGAGAGACAGAGAGACAGATCCACAGAGAGAAACAGAGACACCAAGAGAATGAGACTTCGGGAGAAGAAAAAATGAAGAGTAAGGCAATAGAGATGGAGGAAAGGAGAAGAGAAATGTGTGTTAGGGAAATGTGGTTGAAAAATTGGTATTTGTGAGTTTATTGGGAACACATCTTTTCTTCCAAGTAGCCTGGCAGTCCCCAGAGCTACTTCTGAGAATCCAAGGGCAGATTTATGAGAGGGCTCAGTCTGAGTGATTTCTCCTGCACGCAGAGCTGTGAAAAACCATCTCTCTCATCCCCTAAATCAGAACTCCCAGAGTTTGGACTCAGTTCCTTCCGCCATCTGAGGGGCTGAGGGCACAACACATTTGGTGACTTCTTGCTTTTGGTCCTCTCTCTCCTGAGAGTGACAACAACCATTCAGAAGTTATTTGTTGGCACAATCCCACAACTCAGCTTCCTCAGCAGGCAGAATCACAGAATCTATGGCTGGAGAGCAGGACTGGCAAGGTCAGGAGTCCTGGGACCCTCTAACATCAGTCATATAGCCTTAGTCTGGTCTGCTCTGGAAAGCTATTACTATACGGTTCTGTAAAAGGGGCAGCATTTACAGGGATCCTTTGTCCTTTGGGCTGGTGTAAGAGCAAAGGATCTAGAGTTCTAGGACTCTGGATAAACCTCAAATACTGCAGGACACAAGACACGAGTGGACTCACAGGGGCATTTTCAGAGGACTCACTGATTTTCTAACAGCTAGAATGTGTCTAAGGTCACAGCCCAAAGAGAAAATTGTAAGACATAATCTTGCCCCTCTCTCCCAACAGGAAGGTTCTAGGCTCTGCTCAGTACCTCCTTTCTCTCTTCACTGATCTCAATGCAAAGCCATAAGAAAAATTCTGGGGGGGCCATACCTTCCTTCCCTGTAGTCTTCCAACAGGTACTCCTCCAGTTTATATGCCAACCAGCTTCCTCACAGGCGATCCATGGGAGGATGTGGGCCTCAAGGTCAAGAGAGTTACGTCTCTCCGAGGCTCCTGAAGGCACAGAGAACACTGACAAAGAGTCTAGATAGACATTGGTTAAGATTCACCTCTCCTAGAAAAGCTTCCCGGGCTAATATCACCTGGTACTGGGCGCTCAAATACCTTCACAGTCTTTAGAAATAACTATTATTGGTAATGCAAGTTTCATATATTATTCCCCTGATTTTGCTGCTTGGCCATTATTTTCTCAGTGTTTTTTTCTCTGAGACAAGGACTGTATTTCCTTTCCCCTTCTCTCCACCCTCACTGGCACCTGCTGCTTCGCCCCAACCCACTCCTTGCCTCTCACCAGCCTGTCCTCAGCTCTCTAATGACACTACATTCTCGGGACGGGATATCGACTACCTGATTGCAAGATCATATTCTCGACTTGTCTCAAAATCAATTACCCTTCTTGGAAATCCCCCACATCCCTAACTCTGACCTTTTCCTTAGGCTCTTCTGTGAAACTTCATAGGTCTTGCCCCCTTTCTGGGTCTCTGTTATCCTATTTATAAAATTGTTACAGTGGTAGCCTCCTCCAGTTTGGTCACAATCTGTTCGTGGAATCAACAGCTTGCGTTTTGTCCTCATTCAGTTGAAACCAAAAAGGGTTTGGAGGTAATTATTTCAAAAGGCATTTTTTTCTTCTATAGTGTGTTTCTAGAGCTGGGTCGAGGGAGGGGTGCTTATTTGCCAAGGAGTGGGGAGAGGGGAAAGGTGGATAAGGCCAAAGACAGCTAGGAGTGAGGGGTAGGCTTGAGGCAGAGTTGGAAGGCCTCTGGGAGATAGCATCAAGGTTTGTGACCCTGAACCTCTCACCAGGGCTACCACTTCCACGGCTCCTGACACTTGTGATGCCACATCCCGCACCAAATAGATCCAAGGATCAGTTGGAGGCTTCCGGGACCGCTTCTTTTTGTTTCCATCCCGAAAACACATTTCCAGATGTCTCTGCAGCAAAGTGAAATTCCATACAGGCAAGCCTTAGGGAAAAAAAGAAAAAAGAAAATGAAGCAATTGGCAGTGAAAGACAGAAAGAGAAGATAGAGTCCTTAGAGAAGGGAGTATCCCTGAGGAGGTGGGAACAAGGGGAGGAGAAGGGGAGGAGGAGAGGAGGAGGAAAGCAGGCCTGTCTCTTTAAGGGGGTTGGCTGTCAATCAGAAAGCCCTTTTCATTGCAGGAGAAGAGGACAAAGATACTCAGAGAGAAAAAGTAAAGGATCGAAGAAGGAGACTGGAGAGACCAGGATCCTTCCAGCTGAACAAAGTCAGCCGCAAAGCAGACTAGCCAGCCGGCTACAATTGGAGTCAGAGTCCCAAAGACATGGGTGAGTTTCAAAAACTTTAGCATGAAAGATTCAAGCAGGCACAGGAATTTGCAAGAGGATTTCAAACTTTGGGATTCGGGGTTTCCAATGGTTTAAATGAGTTGTGTTTCGGCACTTGTTTTCTTTTTAATTCCTTAACATGCTATTAGATTAACTCCTTCTCTGCTGTACTGAGAACAACGCTTTATTACCAAAGAACTCCAGCAGCACGTGGAGAGTCCCACAGGTCCTTGGAGAGAGTGTCCCATGGGCTAGATGTGGTCATGTGTCCTCCTACCCCCTCATTTCCCTTTACTTTGTCTTTTCCCCTGGTTCCCAGGCCCTGGTAATGGCCAGGTCAGCTGATGTCCCTGGTTCTGCTGGAGGCAACTGAGTGTTGGCTAACCCTCAGATGTACAAAGTAACTGCCTGCTTGATACAAAATTTGGACCCTGTTTGGCATCGGAAGGAAATTGGGGAATTGGGCAAGATGGACTCAGGCTTGGCCATGGCTGAGGAGGCCAGGCTCAGGTTCAGGGAATGAAAATAAAGACCTCAATGGCTTTACCATGGGGAATGATTATGGGTAGGGGTGTGCGTGTGTGTATGTGTGTGCGCACATGTATAGGTGATCATATCTCGCAAATATCATAGACTTAGCCTCCCCAAGGACATGGCTCCGACTCTAAATCCCTACTATGACAAGGAGGCTGCTGGAACCTTAGGGCTCTTGCTGACCTGGTTGAATACTGAGAGCTTCTCCCGGTTTCATGAACAAAGAGAGAAGCTACAGGGTCTGGTCTCCGGTAGTGTCTGCTCAGAGCAGGTGTGCAGAGTACAAGGGTCTTTGTCCACACAGGATGCCAGAGATGTGGAGACATTGCTCACATTTGGCAAAACAAGAGTAGCAGTCTGAATGCATCCTAAATGAAATGAGAATCAATTGCCCTGCATATTCACCATCAAGTGTAGTACCTAGAAATTCCGACAACATCCACGGAGATAGGTTCTCAGTTATATTAAGCTGATGTCAGCCTTTAGGTTGTTTCATTCTGAAACATATACATGTGCTTTGAACCATGTATTCAGATAGAATAATTAAGAGGGCAGAGCATGGACTAGAAATCAACAACCAGGTTCGAATCCCAGATCTGCCACTTATGAACTTCCTGACCTTGGGTAGGTAGCTGTGAATTGTCACTTCATCATCTGGAAAATGAGGATAACCATAACTGCTTTGTCTACTTTCAGGGTTGTGAAAATCAAGTAATAACTATGTGGAAGTCCTTTGAAAATGACAAGCTCTATAACAATTGTAAATCATGATAATACTGATTATTATACAATAATGTATACATGCTGAATCGTACGCTTTCCAAAATGGTTGGGCTTTCTTTGTGTGCACTTGGGTAAGAATTGTTTGACCAATTGAGTGTGGTCAGGTGAGAGGTGAATGTTGGAGGAACTCAATTCCTGCTCTAGGAACCCTACCTAATGTCACGGCAGCTAACTGGGTAGGTCGTGAATTAGAAATGGAGAGGAAGTAAAGAAGAACACTGAATATTACTCTCTCAGGGGATGAAAGCCCTGAGGAAAAGGCAGGAACAAATAAGGTGACCACAGGATAGTTCCCTGTTATGGAGGCTGGATGATTGTCTCCAGGGGAGATTGCCACAGATAAAGGCACAGTCGAGGTCTTGCACTGGATCCCAGATCCTGGGGGTGGGTGATACTTGGGACAGGTGCACATGATGGAGTGGCTGTTGAGTTTTCAGTTATTCAATAGCCATCTCAAATACTTTGTAAATAATAGGCCATTTCTAACAAGATGTTGAACTGTTACTACTTCTGATTTGGAGTGTGCTGCTGTTTAACAATTGTAGCAGACAAATTAGATCATGGAATCTGGGATTGGAAGGAACTCTAGAAGCTGTCTGAGCCAACTTTCAATGCAGAAATCCCTTCTGCAACAACCAATTAACCATTCCTACAGTCTCTGCTTAATCACCTCCAGGAATAGGGAGCTCACTACCTCAACCATGTTGAATCTCATAGGATTGGATGCAAAGAGGAACACTGAATTCAGTACTGTCTATGCAAAAGGTTTATGGGGGAAATGATAGTTCGTTAAACCTTCTCCAGACTTGGGAGGAGGATGTTCCAAATGAGTCTTTGGGATAACAATGGAACCGGAAAAGAGCCAAAGAGCAGTAGCTGATTATTCTCTGCTCAGTAACACAATGCCATTACTGAACAGCCAAACATTGGCTCCTGCAAGCCTGTTGTCTGAGAACAGCGGCTGTTACCCTGGTAACCAGACTATGATGCTTCCCTCCAAAGGTGGCTGTTTGCCGAGCAGTGTAGTTTTGGCTGGCTCAGAGTAAGTGGGTGTAGCCCAGGCCAAAAGTGTGGAGGCACAGCAGGGGTCCAGTTTTAGAAAATGCCTGAAAACTAACTGAATCCCACCATGATAGCAAGAATCCTGCAAGAATGCCAGGAGCTGAAGAGAAACCAGGTCTAAACCAGCATGGTCACTTACTCTCTTCCTAGAGACACTGACTGAAATGATCACGGACAGCCCACCGCACTCCCCACCTTGGCCTTGCAGAGCCAGAGGAGCTCTTGGAGAGCCAGGCCAATTGGAAGGTCTGCTCTACCTCAGGGGGCTTTTGCCCTGGCTAGAAGAGCCAGAAGTTTACTCAACAGCCTGACAACTAGAACTACTCTCTCAAAGCTAACTGAGTAGTAACAAAGCCCAAAAAACCCTTGGGAGATGGGTGGGAGGGGAAATATAGACTCCAAACCCATCAAGACAGAACCCCAGCCAGTGGTATCTCTTTCCTTTGTTTGTTTTTATTGTATTATCTTGAAGCCCTGAAAACCATCCACAGGCTGTAGTTCTTGGTCTTGAAAGAAAGCAACAGTAGAAATGCATTCCCTGCCCACAGAACCTCAGGTCCAGAGAAGATCAAGTCAGGGCACTGACTTGATCAGGAAGGGCCACACCAGCCATGGCAGATGAACAGAGCAGCTTTCCCTTCCTTTCCCACTGTCAGAGCCTGCCCAGTGCCAAACTGACATCAAAAGCTCAGCAAGGACTGACTAATTCCTCCTCGGCTATTTTAAAAGAGTCCTAAGGGTGATCTCTCAACTCTGAACTGGCCTCTGAGCTCTCTGCCGAGAAGGGCTCTGGAAAAGAGTCAGTGACTTCCTAAGGAAGAGAACAAAGCTCCCCAGATCAGGTTCACAATGCAACCAAGGAGAGAGGACCAATTGGTGGGAGACTGACCTAAGGAATAAGGTGCGGAAACTGTGGTCTGTTAGCTTAGTGCCAATTGCTTCTCTTCCACCTTCCCATAAGTGGGCAAGGTGAAGACAATTGTGCCAGGGATAGATTTTAACAATCATACTTCTACCCTAGCCAATCAATGTTTGGGCATAAATTAGCACACATGTACGTGTGTGTGTGTGTGTGTGTGTTCGGGGAGGAATGGAACATTTTGGAAACAAAGTGGTCCAGATGCTGTTGCCATGGTAATAATAATACCTGTCCAAAGAAGAGGCTGAGATTCCTTTTTCTTCAATGCTGTCCACATGACTTGACTATCCAGCAGGCTTGGAATCATATATCCTAGCAACCGCAGGGCCCCTTTCCAGCACTTGAATGTGGTATAAGTGCTGATATCATGTAAGAAAGGCAAGATTATAGGCAGGGCTTTGTCTGACCAGGATGAGGCCAGAAGCAAAAGTCTTTGTCTCTGGTACCTCCTGATTATTGTTGTTTTACTCCTAGAACCCGCCCACTGATCCCCATCCATCCCCAGTACCAGTCACGGCTGCTCTAGCATCTTGGCCCTGTCAACTGCTATAGGCCCTGATCAAGGAGGCCTCTGTTCATGGGGTGAGGTTAAGGGGTGGGTTCTGTGAGGAGGGTAAGACCGTGGTGTAGATTAGAGACTTAGGGAGATGGGGCCAGTTTTTCAATCAATGAGCCTGCCTGTTGTTTAGCTCTATTGTATAGGGTTCTTCTGTCTCTCCCTTTGTCAGCTGGATTCAAGGGACAGGCTGGGAATTGTGCAAGGCACAATTGGTCTCTTTCTACCATCCCTTTCGATGAAAGCCCTTCCTCTCCTCCCTTTGATGAGTTCCCAGATTCACACTGAATTTCCATCATGGAGCTGGTCCTTGAGGCGTGCCTGGGGCATGGGAAAGGAGGGAGGGCTTGGGAGCTCTTGGCTCCTGCTTAAAGAGACAGCATCAGGATCAACACAGTCCCTTGGATGGCTGTGAATCTGGATGAGTCACAATGGTCCTGTTGATCTCTGTCAGACTCCTCTGAAGAGCATTGCCAAGAAGAGCCTGAAGTTCTATCACAGATTGATTAAACTAGTATTGGGAGTTTGTAGATAAATCTAGCCAACACTGAATATTTCCCTTTTCCCTACATTTTGCCCACAGGACTTGGTTACACACATTTTAACACTAGATTACAGGTAGCTTTGGTCTTTGATTCACAGACATAAGTTTGTTCTCCCCAACAAGACTGAAAGGTCTTTGAAGAAAGGGACTGGGCCTTATAATTCCCTTTTGGTTCTCATAGTGTATGGATTACTGCTAATGTGCTTGGTAATTTTACTGGATCCACATAAGCAGAAATGAAAGGAAAACACTTGAGAGTGTCATTACTTTTCTCTATGACCTCTCATCAAAGTCAGGTGGTTTAATCCAATTGAATTGCACAGGGTAATATTACTATACAGTTCTTTTATGTC